TGAAGTGCATGGGAACTCCCTATGTACTACCTCGGCCTGCCTCCTGACTGCCTGCAGCTGCAGGGCGGGGCAGTCCAGGAGGCTGCTCTTGCCAATGCCGAGGTGAGCCAGGGCCTGCCGCTGCAGCTCCTGCTGAGGCTGGTGTGGGAACAGGCCAAAAATAGCCTGTTCCCGAAACCCTGGTTTGGTGCCTGAGTGTTAGGGCAGGTCGATCTTATGAGGGCCCGAAAGTGGCCCTCCGTTTCAGGCTGAAAAGACTCAGGGCCTGAAAGGCCCTGTTTTAGGCTGAAACGACATAGGGCCTGCAGGCCCTCGTTTTTCAGTCTTTCAGTCTGAAACGACACGGGGCCTGTAAGCCCTTGTTTCTAGGCTTTTAGGCTGAGAATGCGGGACAGGCCCTGCAGGCCCGTGTGGCTGCGCAGTATGCCACACCCCCCCCTCCTTGAAAGACCGAGCTTACCTGTGAGGGCGAAGCTGTCTGTCTGAGGGAGGGACCATAGTCCGGGTGGGAGGGGCAGGTCGTGAAGTTCCCTGAGCTAACATTTGTCGCTCGTAGTGAGCGTAGATCAGCGGTGCGAATGCTTTCAAATCTGTTCCAGAAATCCACCGGGTGTCGTCGGGATCACATGCTTTGAATGTAACTTTGTACTGTCGAGACTTGCTGCCGTACTTGCGATCCGTGATGACGCGGTCAACCTCCTGATAACCATCCATAGATGGAGGATCTTGCGATCTTCGGCCCGGGAAGTCGTCGCTCTTGGCTGGTGTATATGTTGCCAGCTTCGAGGCGTGAAAGACTGGATGGACCATCAGATGCGGTGGAATGTTGATCACAAATGAGGGGCCATCGGGCTCATCGCCCGCGGCTGATGTTACGGGCCATGGTCCAACCCACTTGGGAAGTAGTTTGCGTGAAACATCCTGTTCGAGTGCAAACTCTTCCGCGGAGACCCACACCAGATCACCGGCGCGGATGGGGCATGGCACACGATGCCTGTTGGCTTGCTGCTGCACGCAGACTTGAGCCTTTTGCATGTTCGCGCGGGCTTGAGCCAGCAATTCCCTGTACTTCCGAACGGAAGCGGGGGAGCAAGCAACATCTATGTCGGTTGTTCATGGGAGGAGAAGATCAGTGAAGATACGGCCTTTCCTGCCACCGTGGTGCAACTCGAATGGAGTTACGCCGATCGCCGGATACAACGAAGTGTTGTAGGCGAACTCGATGTCGGGGAGGCAGTCAACCCAATCCTTATAATCCGGATGGATGAGCGTACAAAGCATCATTTGAGCGGTTTGATGTGCCCGCTCCGTTTGCCCGTCTGTTTGTGGATGCCGAGCCGAACTTGGTTTCATCTTCATGCCGGATTCCTGCATGAGAGAAGTCCAAAATGCTGACATGAAGCGAGTGTCGCAGTCGCTGACGATGTCTTCCGGCACGCCATGGCTGCAAATCCAGCTGGTGTGTAGGAGGCGCGCAAGTTCGGAAGTCGTGGCGTAGTACTTGCAAGGAAGAAATCACGCATACTTACTCAAACGGTCAACGACCGTGAGGATGCCGTTGTGCCCGAGCCGGTCGCGGGGAAACGGACCGGTGACGTCCATGGCAATGGAGAGGCCAGGTTCCTGTGGGATAGGCATCGAGCGCAACTCGCCGTAGGGATTGCGGTTGCGGGGCTTGCTTCGTCGACAAACTTCGCAAGAGTCGCAAGGGTTGCGGTCAGGCCATCGGAATCGTTGCCGAAGTCGTGCAATAGTGCGATTGACTCCAAAATGGCCGGCGAGTCGCGAGTCATGATACTCACCGAGAAGGCGAGTCCGAAGACGACGGTCGCGTGGGACACACAATAAGTCCTTGCCTCTCGAGTGGAGGAGCAAGTACCCGTCGACGATGCGATAATGGCTGGCCGGAGGGTGATCCGAAGATAGCTGCGCATACAACGTGGCGAATTCCGGATCGGACTCATAGCCCCGGATGAAGTGTCGCTGGAGTTCCTCGTCAAATGCGAGGGCATGATGTGTCCTAGCCCAAAGATCGGGTCTTCACGAGAGTGCATCTGCTGCGCGATTGAAGAGGCCGGGAAGATGTTTCGGTGTGAAGTCAAATTGGTCGATGAAGTACATCCATCGTTCGATCGTGTTGCTCACCGTATCCTGCGTCTTGTAGTAGGTCAATGGGTTGTCGTCCGTGACCCATGTGAACCTACGACGCCCAAGGAGGAAGTGCCGCCATCGCTTGAGAGCCATCACGAACACGAGCAGCTCCTTCTTCCTTGCATCATCAAGTGAATTGATGGGAGGCACTTTGTGGCTGGAATACTCCACGGGGTGCCAGTCATCGCTGTCATGTTGTTCCAAGACTGCCCCAATGCCATAGCCGGAAGCATCGGTTGTCACTCTCGTTGGCAGGGTGGGGGCGTAGATGCTAAGGACGGGTGCCATGAACGTGGCCGTCTTGAGTGCTTGGAATGACCGGCGTGCATCGTCATCGAATACGAATGGCACATTTGGCGATTGTAATCTCGTCATAGGTGCGGCAATCCTTGAGTACCCGGTGATGAAGCGTTGATAGTAGCCTGCCAACCCCATGAATGAACGAACGTCCATGGTGTTGGTGGGCTCGGGCCATACGTGGATGGCCTCGATCTTGTCCGCAAGCGGACGGATGCCTTGCAGCGTCACATAATGTCCCAAGTACTCCGGCTCTTGCCGCGCGAATTCGCATTTGTCGCGGTTGGCTTTGTACTTGGTTTGTCGTAGCCGCTCCAAAACGGTGCGCAGGTGCTCTACATGCTCGTCCAAACTCCGGCTGTACACCAAGATGTCGTCGAGGTAGATGAGTACGAATCTATCCAGCATGTGTCGGAACTCCGTTGTCATAGCTGCTTGGAATGTGGCCGGGGCATTTGTAAGGCCAAAAGGCATAACATTCGAAATGCCCATATCGTGTCTTAAACGCGGTCTTGTAGCGGTCCTCCTGCCGGATCTCGAGTTGGTGATATTCCGATTTGAGGTCAAGCTTGGAGAAGAACTTGGCGCCCCCCAGTCGTTCGAGGAGGTCGTCAATGAGCGGAAGAGGGCCGGATTTCTTGACGGTTTGCGCGTTGAGCTTACGATAATCGATGCACAACCGCAGCTCCATGTTCTTCTTCCAAACGAAGAGAACGGGAGCACCGTATGGCGAAGAGCTAGGCCGAATCCAGCCTTTCTCGAGAAGATCGTCGAGTTGTGCCCTTAGCACACTTAACTCTTCCTCGCTCATGCGGTAGATGCAACCACGCGGAGGTACGGCCCCGTCCTCAAGGATGATCTCGTGGCGGATGGGCCGATCCGGTACTACTCCGTGCGGTGTTTCGAACACGTCGCCGTAGGCGTCGAGAAGCTCGGTGATGCATGGGTTCGGTGGTGAGTCCGTCCATGGAATGTCTTGGGGCGGGAGGGAGTGGAGAAAACACACTCCCATCTCCTCGATGTCATCCCGGATGATGGAAGCTCGAATGCTTGCGGCGGACACCACGTGGCAGCTGATCGAAGGGTGAGGAGGAGGCACTGTGCATGGGACTAGTACTCCGTTCCAATCACGAATGTGAATGGTGTGGCGGTAGAAGTTCACCGGGTGATCCTCGCTTCGCAGCCATGACATGCCCAAGATCATGTCGAACTTGGTGTCCAAAATATCGCATGCGGGGCAAATTACACGGGGATGGCATCAATGCACCGGTCGATTGACTTGTGCGTGTGACCGTCGGCCAACGTGACTTGCGCGGGCTGCGACTTTCTCCGAACGTGGCCCAAGGCCAGCGCGTACCATAAAGTCTTGGCTCATGTAGTTGCGAGTGGCTCCGCAATCGATCAAAGTGCTGCAGGTCGCCTCTCCGATCTGAATGAGTATGTACGACAATGGAGCGTCGATGTCGTCGTACCGTTGTGTCTTGAACTCGCGGTCGATCTTCGCAATGTAGGCGTGAACGTCGACAACCTCTACTCCGGCGTCCATCAACGGAGTTGGTACTACAGTGTGCAAGTAATCCCGCAATTGTGCCATGAGCACGTTGCAATGCGGTTTCGGCAATCGACCAGACCGAGGAAGGGGCATCCATTGGAAGTCCGCAAACGTCAACGGGTCGAGCTCTTCAAGTCTTGACCATGTCGTCGAATCCCCGGCGATACATGACGGCGAAGTTGCCGAATCGGTTGTCGATGGTAGTGAAACCGTGCATGCGGTGGATTGTTGCACGTGGAGTGGTTGGTCCAACGGTGGGACCAAGTGGACAGCATAATCCTCGTAAGTGAACCGAGGACTTGCGACATTCGCATCCTCCCCAGATGTGTAGGAGGCCGCTAGCAAGGCGGCTCACCTCCCGCGCAACTCAGTTTCCCGAGTTGATGCGAGGCCGAACATCCTCCTTGCCTTGATCTGGGCATTGGGAGGTCTTGTCCTTGGTGTTGTTGCACCAATAGCAGCAGCCATACCTGGCGCGCCACTTGTATTCGGCCTCGGTCAAGTGAAACTTGACCCATGGTGCTGGCTGTCCGTTTCCGGCTGGCGATGCGGTTTTCACCTTCCCTTTTCCTCGGGAGTTGTTGTTGCTTCGCGGCTGGACAGCAGCTACCTGATCTCCCTCACGTGATGCTTGGGTGGCTGCCGGGTCTTCCACAATGTTGTCCGTGTGGACTGCAACGACATGCTGCGGACGCGGACCAAATTTTCCTTTCTCCACATAGGTTGGTTGCCATGCCGACTTCTCGTGTGCAGCCGCCCTATTGGTCTTGATGATCTCCCTTGCCTTGTCAATGATTTCGGCGAAGGTCGCGTATTGCTCGCGATCACCAAGTGCAAGGCTCAAGGCGGCACATGACCGGTTGTAGAACTCCCGACGCAGATGCGAAAATGGCAATTCGAGATCGGGCGTCACCGTGATCTTTTGCCATTCTGTGAGCCAGTCGTGTGTCGATGTGTTGCCTTGCGTCATAGCGAAGAGGCGGTTGATGGCGAGCGTCGGGGCCTCGTCCACAATGAACCGCTTCTTCCATAGCCTTGTTAACTCTTCCCAAGAGATCTTATCTTTCAGATCTGCGACCTAGACGCCGTGAATGGTTGCCAGGTGGCTGAGCCAGATCTGACATCCGCCTTTTGAGTTGAGGAACAGCGCGCCGATGTACGAGTGCTCATGGACGAAGAGAATCCGAAGTTGCATCGGAAAGCCCTCCCACCAGGGAACCGGGTCTTGATGCGTATAATCATCGAACTTCTCGATTTGGAATGTCGGCATCTTGTAGTGTTGTGCACTGGTGTTGCCATCCTTGTTGGGCCGCTGGTGCAGTTGCTGAACCTCGGTCTTCAAGGTGTCCAGCTGCTTGCTGATGGTTGCTGGTGCAGCGAAGGTGCTGATGTCGCCGAGCATTGCGAC